ACTCAAAGCCAGTGGCATGTCATTAGTAAAGATTGAAAAAGTAAGGGGCCTAGACAGCAGCCCTGGGGAATTACTGATTCTACCTGGATTATGTTGGATAGGCTTCCATTAAAGAACACCCTCTGTGTTTTGTTAGACAGGTAACTCTTTATCCACAATATAGCAGGGGGTGTAAAGCCATAACTAGGGCTGTTACGGTGACGGTATTACCGCCACACCAGCGGTCACGAGTCATGAAGGCAGTCAAATTCCATGTGACCGTTTAGTCACGGTAATTAGGCTTCTCCAAGCGCTGATGCTGCTGATGGTCATTAGTAGCCTACCAAACTTGCTAACTGCCTGGTACTCAGCACTCTATTGTCCCTCTAATCACTCTAATCGTAAATTACATTTTAGTCATTTAGCAGACGCTCTTATCCAGAGCGACTTACAGTTAGTGAGTGCATAAATTTTCATACTGGCCCCCCGTGGGAATCTAACCCACAACCCTGGCGTTGCAAGCGCCATGCTCTACCAACTGAGCTACAGGAGGCCTAATCAAACGCGTCATAAGAGCCCATGAGCTCATGTTGTGCAACATTTCTATAGGCTACGCAATTGTGTGAGAAAACAGAGTGATGGCCTCTATTAAAAAGAGGAGGATCCCATCAGCTTTCTATAGGCTAGGCCTACTATATTTATTTCTCAACTTTCCTAATATTAAGCACATTGTTTCTCTTTACAACAGGAGTATAGCCTACCTGGCTGGCATGAAACTGAACCACGGGAAAAGCATTCTCCATTCCCTATTTAAGTGCATAGATGACATGTATTTTTTTCCCCCTGCCCCTGGTCCATTCTCAATCAAAACAAATTACACACATATTATTTAGTATATGTAAAGACAAGATTCAATCAAGAATAGTCTGATGGGTGACAATATTAGCCTATCACTTGTGAATTCTATATTATCACTTGTGAATGATGCCCAGCATAAGGCAGGAAACAACGCATTCCTTTTTTTTGCAACTTTTTCCAATCATAGACCCACACCTCATGTAGCCTAGCCAATAGGCCTATATGTTTTGATAAGGTTTGTATCACAACTAAAGTGGCTAAATAACTTCTTAAAATTAAGCACATTAATCCCCTTTATAGTGGGTGTAGAGCCTCACTCATACATATGCAGCATGTGAGTTTCAAGTTTGGGGAAGATCATTTTCACCATAAAAATGCACCTTTATAATAAAAGCAGAACAATGCATAATCGCATTTGCGGTCACTTTTGATCATGGTGTTTTCCCGCTAATGGAACATTCCGCTTATAGCCTACTGCTGTGTGTGCATTGCTGCTCTTAAAATTGTGAAGCAATAGCCTAATAGTTTATTAACATTTGAAGCTAAACGCAAAAGCATAATGTATGCACTCACTTAACTGTAAGTCGCTCTGGATAAGAGTGTCTGCTAAATGACTAAAATGTAATGTAAATGTAAAGGCATGGATTTTTTCAAGGGGCATTACACGAAGGGGATGCCGCCGGGAAATTCAAGGCATTATCAAGTGCTGGTCAAATTGTGAATGAGAGACTGATGAAGTGTGTACAAGAAACAAAAAAACTAAGTAGAGCTCATGTCTTTCATGCTACCTTTTTCAAATCATCATTAGTCGCATGATGCAGCCTTAGAATGTAATAAAAATCTAAACATATAGGAGGACCTGTTTCTTTGTTAACCGCTCAACACAGAATAGCTGCTAAAATGAATTATGTGGTCCTCTGTAGCTCAGCTGGTAGAGCACGGCGCTTGTAACGCCAAGGTAGTGGGTTCGATCCCCGGGACCACCCATACACAAAAATGTATGCACGCATGACTGTAAGTCGCTTTGGATAAAAGCGTCTGCTAAATGGCTTATTATTATTATTATAAATAAATAAATAAATAAATAAAATACTTATTTTCCACCATAATTTGCAAATAAATTCATAAAAAATCCTACAATGTGATTTTCTGGATATTTTTTTCTCATTTTGTCTGTCATAGTTGACGTGTACCTATGATGAAATTTACAGGCCTCTCTCATCTTTTTAAGTGGGAGAACTTGCACAATTGGTGGCTGACTAAATACTTTTCCCCCCCCACTGTATAGCCAACCAATCAGCCTTTTACCAAGCGTGCTTGTCATCCTCACCAGGGTCTTGACCTGACTGCAGTTCGGCGTTGTAACCGACTTCAGTGGGAAAATGCTCACCTTGGCTACTGGCACGCTGGAGAAGTGTGCTCTTCACAGATGAATCCCGGTTTCAACTGTACCGAGCAGATGGCAGACGTGTGGGTGAGCGGTTTGCTGATGTCAACATTGTGAACAGAGTGGCCCATGGTTGCGGTGGGTTGATGGTATGGGCAGGCATAAGCTATGCACAACGAACACAATTGCATTTTATCGATGGCAATTTGAATGCACAGAGATACTGTGATGAGATCGTGAGGCCCATTGTCATGCCATTCATCTGACACAATGTTTCAGTATGATAATGCACGGCCCCATGTCGCAAGGATCTGTACACAATTCCTGGAAGCTGAAAATGTCCCAGTTCTTCCATGGCATGCATACTCACCAGACAGGTCAGCCATTGAGCATGTTTGGGATGCTCTGGATCGATGTGTATGACAGCGTGTTCCAGTTCCCGCCAAATTCCAGCAACTTTCCACAGCCATTGAAAAGGAGTGGAACAACATTCCACAATCAACATTCTGATGCACTCTTATGGAAAAGAGATGTGTCGCGCTGCATGAGGCAAATGGTGGTCACACCAGATACTGACTGGTTTTCTGATCCACACCGTTGCTTTTTTAAAAAGGTGTATCTGTATTCCCAGTCATGTGAAAACCATAGATTAGGGCCTAATTTATTTCAATTGACTGATTCCCTTATATGAACTGTAACTCAGTATCATCTTTGAAATTGTTACATGTTGCGTTTATTTTTGTTCAGTATATTTCTATGGTTGGTTGCGACTGTCAGTTTGCCTTTTGCAAATTTCAAAACACAATCCTGGGAAAAATGTAGTTTGGAAAGCAAACGCCTACAGCTGAAAAGAGAAGAGTATATAGAGACAAATCTCAACAACTCCAAATGTCTAACTAACAGCAGCACTGTTTTTCAAAGTAGCTTGGCGAGCGCATCGACCATCACCGTGGGTAGCCTATGGCTTCGTCTCCATCATTAGGTGAGTCAGTGTGCCACTGGAAATGATCAATTATTTAAAAAACAAAGCCCCGGGGACTATGATTTGTTAATCTGACCCTGTTCACGGGTTGAACTAGAACCAATAATTATAAAAACACATTTAAATAATCAAATTATTATTCAGTGTCTCATTATTTAATATTTCCTTTAGACAAAAACAAAAAAAACGTTTATGACTTGTTTAATTTCAGATTCAAATGATATAAACGAGGAACGACCCTTTACTCATTTTTTTTATCTTGTCATGTAGTAAGAAATATTAATTGGCCGAAACGTAGACGGAATTCGGTGTCCTCAGATGTAGTTAAGGCCATGTTTCCATACGCAATAGTCTATGCTACACAATTGCACACAGTAGACTATATCCAATAAAACTATACCTCGTTACCTTGACACGGTCTCTGTTCAATCTAACGTGACCCTGCTTTAAATCAAGCAGACAAGACCAGACAATCAACATCAATCTGCTAGGGATATTAGATCCAATGTGGATCACAGCACAATGGTCTTCATCGGGTTAACGAATGAGACACCAAAGCATTCTGGACATTCCTTGCAAACATCATTTTTCATGCACTTTGGCTGTTATTGCATCAAGTGCTGTATCACAACAGCTGTTTGTCACATGACTGTCATTCAGAAAATAATTTCCTGTATCAGATGATGTGTGAAACTATCACAACGTAATTAAAACAGCTGGACATCAAATGCACATCCAACAAGTATTTATTGAAGAACCACGTTTGATGACTATCGGTTTTGGTTTTAAGTATTTAGTAAAGACTATATCAGTTAGAAGCATTCGATTTTGCAATCACATACATTTTGGATTTGTGTAACCATGAAAACTATATTCACGCCGTAACAGGAAACACTAAATGTTACGTAGGCCTAGTTACAGTGCATTTCCAAAATCGGCATCCATAATAACTGTCCGAGCAAGATCCAGGATTCTTACCGGGTACAAGTTCAATGTCTAATTTACCTGATAAATGCTTAACATATGATATAACAACAAACACTGCCATAAATGCAAGATAAGAAATGTAGTGTTTTATGTCACACGATTTTATTGAATGTTCCTTATATCAATGACTTATCAACAGCTGTATCTGTAAGTTGTCCACCGCAGGAAATCTTCACTGGTACTCTAGTTTATAGAAAGACCCTTAGGCCATGTCAGAGGTGTTACTGCGTTGTAGCTGTCAAATCAGCAAGCGTTTTCCCGGAGTTATACCTATCGCGGACATTGCCATTCGATGCACCGAGTCGCATTAGTAGAAAGCTCATGCATCCGTTTTACAAGTTTGAACATTGGAATGTGTGTTGTAATACAAAGTACACCTTGATTAGGCTGATATCAATCCTTATTCTTTCATTTAATGATTTTCAATTTGAGTGTCATTATTTCTATGTAGCTACACTTAGTCTTTCTGAACTTCTAACACGGGTAGGATGGGTGTGGCTTTGTGACAATGACCACAAGAGCAATGCAATTACACCTCTGACATTGGCTAAACAAAAACAATGATTTGCTATGTAGTTCTGATTTAATCTAGGACATAGTTTTTGCTCAGTCACCTTGGGGTGGACAAATTAACATAAGGCTTTACACAAGGCTAAGAGTTTTAATACAAATCCAATGAACCCCACATCTCAGTTGGATCTACCCAGCAAACGCAAATGTTCCTACAACGTTGGGAAACTTAATATTCAAACGGAGACTCAATTTGGTGTCCAGATAATGTTAGCAGGACAAAATCCCATGACTGACTTATGTTGGAACCCCCTGCCGTCTATCCTCTTTATCTTTCATGAATTTTCGCTCATTTGGGAGTAAATCTACTCCTTTTGCAATCTTGTCCAGAATCTCAGACTCTTCCTTCATCTTCTTCAACCTTACGATCCGATCCTCGAAGCCTGGCTTGCGTTCATCCTCCTCTGTGCGAATGAGTATCTCAATGTACTCCATAGTGGAGAGAGAGCTTGGATTCAGTGCAACTTCATTAAGTCTCTTGAGACAGTCAGAAGACTGCTTGATCAAATTCGTCAGCGCGTCCTCGATCATGTGCAACTCATCCTTAAGCTTATCCAGCATCTCCTTGGTTGACATATACTTGCCCCACGCCTTCATGAAGTTGTCCTTCAGTTCTTGAATAGTCTTTTTCTCAGTCTTTGTTTCATATGTCAACAATACTTTTTCCCTGTCGTGGTCACTGGAAGAGCATTTTCCTGGACATACGGTGCAGTTGCCATCATCATCCATCACGGCACAACTTTTGATGTCATCCTCATCTGGGAGGAAGCAGCAGGTGTGACATGTGAAATTGCATACCTTGCAGTTTGTCGCAAAGTCCTGGGATAATTTGCTTCTCTTCACCTGCAGCACATTTACCTCTGTCTCAAAATCTTTGTTCTGTTTCATGTTCTCGTCCTCGTTCTCCAGACACAGTTTGAAGCTGTTGATCTCACTTAGCTTTGACAGACCTGCTGTGATCTGAGGGGTCAGGCGTGTCATGGTCTTCTCCAGAAGCTCACGTTCTTCCAGCACTTTCTTTGTCAGGGTCAGATCTTTGCTCTCAATGCTTTCCAGCACTTGGAAAAATTTCTTCATCTCCTTGAAAGTTGACTTCCATTGCTCTGGACACTGTGACTTATGATCATCATCATCATCATCATCACCATCCTCTTCACTGCTGCTCTCCATCTCCTTTAAGAACAGAATTGAACTGTTGAATTTGAAATGGGTTGGTTGCCCCTTCTTGTTTTTCTTACAGGGCAGATTTGCAGCTTTGATGGCCTCTAGCGCCGGTATCTGCTTCCCATCAACAAATGTCACAAGCATCAGGATGTTTTCAGCAACATCCTTTCCAAAGATGGACAGGATGGAATCAAAGATGTATCTCTGGGAAGGACTGAGACGAACAAGTGATGCCTGCACTACAAAGCAGACTGCATCAATGTGATCAATCCCTAAAGGATTACACAAGAAATCCTTCAACATCTGGATGAGCAATTTATCCTGAGCCATTCCTCTGGTGTCTCCGAACCCTGGTGTGTCAACGATAGTCAGAGAATAAGGAATCTGGAAGCCTGACTGGTTGTAGAGCTCGTATGATGTCACAACTATAGTCTGGCTCTCAGCCTGTGACTTGTTGGTCACCTCATGGATGAGCTTAAAGCGGTAACAGTCTTCCCACTTTACCCCGAGAATGTAGTTTATCATGACATTGACCAGAGTTGTTTTTCCTGCACCTGTGGCCCCCAGAAGCATTATCACCTTGTTATTCCCTTGCTCAACCTTCCTCCCAAATCTGTACTGGCCAAAACATTCATTTACACCAAACTTCTCTTCCAGATTCAGCCAGTGGATTGAGGGGTTGCCCTTTTCCACCTTCTGGGATTTTTTGAGGAATTCCTCACTTTTTGCTCCGGTTGATTTGCTCGTCTTCGGTTGGGCATCAGAGACCCTAATGGTAGTCAGCACAGTCTCAGGACTAGGTAGACTCTTCCCTGCTTCGCCACAGTTAGCAGAGACCCTGATGCTGTATGCAGTGTCAGCCTCTAGTCCTTCCAGTGTACTCTCTCTAGTGGTGGTGTTGATGGTGTGCCACATCTGATTGTCTATAGCCTTTACACTATGTCTGTATTCAACCACATAACCGATGACTGCAACATCGTCTCCAACCATGGTAGGAATGTCCCAGTTCACTCTGATACGTCCCGATTCTATGCTCTTCTCTGTGGGTGGTCCAGGGGGGCTACATGAACGGGTCCTGAAGTATTCTGTCCAGTCACTGGAGAGGCTCACACCAGGTCTACACACCGCCTTGCAGCTAAAGCGGTACTTTTTGTAAGGGTCCAGATTACGGATGGTGACCTGGTTAGTTGTAGCATCAGGTTTGACCTCTGTCCACTCAGAGTCAGCCTGCTCAGACTGGTACAAAACGTGGTATGACTCCACAGAGGTAACACCAAGGTTGGGAGGGTTGACTTGCAAGTGGACACAGTCATGCTCCAGACTCTTGATGGTGGGGACACCTGGCTTTGATGGCAGCTCAAACTGTGGACTCAAAAGTGTCCCTCTTTCGTAGACATGGATGGACGACGCAGTAAGGAGTTTGTTTGGCATTGATGCAATGCAGAATGCAATATTTTCTCTGCCTTTGTTTGACTCTTTGAAGTCTAGGAACAGATTTATGGTTTGCCTGGTTAGGGTGGTTACCTCCCCCGAGCGAAACCACTTTTCTGCTGCAGATTTCCCGGCTGCGTTGGGGTTGAAAGGCATCAGTGAAAAATCACTTTTAGATTCTTCCAGCAAGTAGTTCTCCAAGACTACCACATACTCTTCTTTCTCCTTCAAATTGGAAAATGCAAAACACACTACATAATCATTAGCTTGATCAAGCACTATTCCGTCCAATTCATTGCTTGAGTACACAACTTGTACCTCTTTCATTATGTCAAGGTAAGAGCTGACAACATTCATCTCTCTCTCTCTGTCATCCAGGTACGTGATCATAAGGTCATTCTGGAATGGAGAACGTTCTTTGCTGTTGAGCATTTTTATCAGCTCTTCCTCCTCCATTCCTCCTCCTCTTATTTTGGGAAGAACCTTGCAGAGACCTTTCTGGAACACCAGCTTGTACTCTGAGCACAAGTCCCTGAACTTGTTGAGCTTGGCTTTGATTTCAGGGAACTTGATAGCCATGTCTTCCTTCATCATGTCCTGGCATTGTACATCAGTATTGTCCAGTCCGTCCAAGAGTCGCTGTGCGCGACGCACCAGGCTAACACTGATCTGCCTGACTAGCTGGGCAGCTGCAGAGTCCAGGTTCTTGAGAGGATAGAGCCAGGCGGTCATGGGCACAGCGTGTTCTCCGTTCTCCCCTAGCAGACGTGGCAGGCCAGCATACACCCTGATGGCATCTTCAAATGTGACAGGGTTGTTTTCTAGTGCAAAATCACCATGGAAAGTGCAGTTGAATTTATTGGCCTCCCTCTTCTCTTCCTCACTCATCTTCAACTTTGCCTGCCCTTCTATTGATATGAGAGGGATCTTTTTTATCATGGCCTGCAGGTTTCCTTGGATGTCCTGGTGGTTTTCTCCTGAGGAAACCTCTTGGTCAAAAACGAAAAAGGCCTGCGCTCCGTAGAGCAGGGCAGTCACCACATGGGTTGCAGAGCCCTCTTGTAAGACATTACAATGTTTCACATTTCCTGCCCCCAGGTGGTCCATGGTCAGCTGCTCAAAGCGAGTGGTGGTACGGTACTGCAGAGAAACCCTAGACTGACGATTTGAGGTCTTTTTGTCATGTAGGAATTCAGCAGATCCTTTCACACTGACTAAGCCACCAAGAAAACTGGCCTCAAGAGATGCAGACACATTCAAAGCTTCTGACTTTGCTTCACTTGAGTCTGAAGCAATGATTTTGAAGTCAGTGTTTGGTTGTGGACGGACATTGATGTGTTTCCGCAGCATCTCAGAATCCCAGAGAGTGATACCTGCAGTTTAAAGAGAGAATGACCAAAGAACGTTTATTGTGAAAATAATACTCCAACGTGTACATGTATAATTATTTATATATGTAAACATGGTTTAATTCAAATAACTAATTGAAGGTAAATATTGAACTCAAAGTAAATATTCTAGGTGACATGACACCCATAGTTAGAAAACCTAAACCTCATACACTCTCAGAAGAAAAGAGTGATATGTAGCACCATTTGTCCTTGTAGGAGAACCAGTCTGGAAATGGGTTCCAGATAGAACCCTTTCCAGGTCAAATAGAACCTGGGTTCCAAATAAAGGGTGCTATTTGGAACCAGAAAGAGTTCTATCTAGAACCTTTTAACAGATGGTTCCCCTACAGGGACAAATGGTGCCACATAGCACTCTTTTTTTTTCTTTAGTATCTTTGCCATTGATCATTTCTACTAAATGACCACTTCAAAAACGACTTGCATGCCATCAGTCTTTTGTTCCAAGTGCGTCATCTAGCTTTTCTTACTCTGTGGAGACCATAGAGATGTACCAGAAAACTCACCTCTCTTTGCAATAGCCACTTCTGTTACAGCATCAAAGAGGACTTTAGTGCCCAAAAGCCTGTTTTAGCATGGGCTGCACCATTGAGGACTTTCACCATTTTGAAGTAGTCAACTGGGCGAGACTTCCTTTGGGTTAAGGAAGGATTACATAATTCAATCTGGGTCCTCAGGAGGGATCAGACAGAATATAATCACTGCCACCTGGTGATGTTACCATAGGGCTAATGTATGCCATGTTATCTGTCCCCTGTAGCTCAGTTGGTAGAGCATGGCGCTTGCAATGCCATGGTTGTGGGTTCGTTTCCCACGAGGGGCCAGTATGAAAATGTATGCACTCACTAACTGTAAGTCGCTCTCGATAAGAGCGTCTGCTAAATGACTAAAATGTAAAAATGTTATCTGATGGGACCAGTTACAAGTTAGCATTCTGTCACGTGCATGTAATGTGACTATTGTAATTAGCCGAGACACATTTTGAGCTGGAGAAACTGTTTACATTTAAATGTTTGCTTATGTACACAAGTATGGCCCAAATGTCTTCTTCAACTTCTATGAGTGTATTAGCAGTTTTGTAAATCAATTGAAAAGGTGCATACCACCACCTACTGTGCGGAGTGTATATAGTCTGAACAGGTATAAAGCCCAGGTTGGTGATTTACTGACACCTGCAGTTATGGAATGTTTGCTCAGGAGTGCAATTCATTGGCTGACCCCTCCTGCTGATTCTTCCTTAATCCATAGAAACTACTTTAAAATGGTGAAAGCCGTCAATGGCGTTCCCCATGCTAGAACAGTGTGCCCTCTATCCAACTCAAATGGTGGAAACACTGTCAATGAATTTAAGATAATCAATATGCATTACCTCCAAACCAAATAGTAATAGTTTCCTGTACCTGGAATGAGGACATCTCTGCGACAGTCATACAGCATCCCCAGCTGGAAGGGTCGGCCCAGAGCAGCTAGCTCGATGGTCTCAGAGTCGGACATGACTCAAGTGTTCTGAAAACATATCAGAACTGGGGTTACTTCAGCAGCCACGGTATTAGAAAATTATAACAGATCATTTGGCCGTTGTTAGGTTCTAAATAAAATGGAGTAAAACCAACGGACGACTAGGGAAAGCTCAAACCAAGTTTATTCACCCACTGGGTCAAATAGCTGAAAAGATAAAGACATGTTTTCCACCAGCACAAGTATTTATACCCTCCTTTAGGCGGAGTCTCCTCCTTGCACCCCTAAACACTACATCTTTGTTGCTAGGAAGGAAGCTAAGTGATGTGTGTAACAAAAGTCTTCCTTCTCCCTCCATCTGACCTCGTCCCACATTCCTCACTAATCCACAGCTATCCAACCTTATCAGTGACCCCAACTAAGTGATTGCCATTTCACTTGAACGACCAGATGAGAAACTGGATTTACACAAACAATTTTATTTAAACGTTATTTAACTTGGCAAGTCAATTAAGAACAAATTATTATTTACAAATGTTTATGTAGTGTTTCTAGATTAGAAACACAGAGGCTGGTGGCCGTTATATTCTCTCAAGGTATTAAAGAAACATTAGAGAGTTAGCCTTGTGTCATGAATGTCTGTGGAATGCGGTAGGCCAGAGTCAAGCGCAGGACACAGAATGAAATGAAAATCCACTTTACTGAATAGTAAAGAAACAAGCAAAACCTCCAAACACAGGGAGGAGCAAACCCGCTCACAAGTGACCCTCGTAACAAGCAACAAACACGTACAACACACAGTAGACGTGAACAGGTTGAAACAAAACGTAATAGGGAACAGGTGTGCAACAACAGACAACAATCAGATGAACATAGAAACATAGAACATAGAGCTAGTATTCCGGTGACAACGAACGCCGAAGCCTGCCCGAGCCAAAAGGAAGGGCAGTCTCGGCAGAGTCCGTGACACCTTGTTCAACCATCCTGTTTAGTCATGCTGGTGGATCAGAGTTGAGATGCATATTTTATCACAAATAGCTTCTACTGAGCCTAAGAACACACATATCAAAAAACGTAGTCGAAGCAGGCGCACATTTTCTTCAAGAAACGGTACCAAATATACAGTACAAATGTGCTGCTTTGAGAGCAAAAGCATTCACTGTCTGTTTTTGGTTATTTTCATATCTCATCTCTAAGAAAGTCAGAGACCTACAAGAAAATGGGTGGATATGCATCAAAAGAAAAGAGAAGGACTGAAGAGGATTACAGGCAACTCCTTGCTAAGAACGTGAGAATGGAAACAGAACAAAATAAGGAAGAAGAACGAAGACAGGAGCTCGAGAAGGAAAGACTAAAATTAATGGAACACAATAGAGAGCGAGAGAAAGGAGAAAGGACAAGGATTAAGCAGGGAAAAGAGATTGAAAAAGGAGATCAGAAAACTGTATAAAATATTAAGAGAAGGGCATGAACTGTTTAATTTATCCACAAAATGAATTACTGGACAAAGCACACAATCATTGTAAACTTTTAAATCCACAATTGCACAGCCTGTTTTATTTTCCCCAAATGATGTGGTTAAAGGGATAGTTTACACAAATTACATAGTGATTTTATAACCCTGTTAGCAGTCTTTGGTTTTGTTTATCTGACTGCTGTCGCCAAAAGCTTTTCAAAACCAATGCCTGTCAAGATCTGAGAATCCTCTGTAGCATTGCAATAAATATATTCTATTGATGCCTTGTTGTCCGATATCTCCTCTGGCACTTCACACCTGAGACAGAAAAATCCCAACAGTTTATTCAGGATTTATTTACATTCAACTCTCTTATAGGCCGGTATTCAATGCAAGGCATGTTTTCTATCAAATGTCCATGTATCTTGACCAGACCCAGTATGTTAGCCAGTGGTGTCATTAGGCTTCAGCCCCGGATGTTTTTGGTCCAGCCCCGACCCTTTTGATGGTGTTATTATTTTAAAAAAGTACATTTCAGTCAGAGTTTCCATAACTACACATCACTTGCGCAATGCACATTTTAATGACTAAAATAAACGATCCAATATACTGCAGTAGCAGGCACTGCAAGAAGCCCCTGGTCTGACTCAGTGCCTGCTGTGATTGGTCGATTACACAATGCAGTGGACCACTCCCGTCCCTTGACCCCACCCCTACAGCACCGGTTAGATGTCCATGTCATCACTCAGTAAAACACCTCAGCAGAACACAGCAAATATGGATATTCAGAATTTCTTCTGAAAGAGGAAAAAAAACAAGCGAGCAGGTTGAGGCAGTAGTGAATGAGGTGGAGAGTGTAGAACAACCAGGAAGTCAGTGGAGCAGCAGAGTTAGCCGCAGGTTTGGTGGTAGCTCCTCCTCTAACTAGTCTCCATCAGCATAAGGGTAGGCTAATGCTAATAAGCTAGTGTTAGCGTTCAGAATCCTAAAGCTATTGGATGTCAGTTATTTAACAGTATATTTAGTGAATGGGCAAGCTAAGGATGTTGATATATCAAATCAAATTTGCCACATGCGCCAAATACAACAGGTGTTGACATTACCGTGAAATGCTTACTTACAGCCCTTAACCAACAATGCATTTATTTTTTAATAAAAGTTAAATAAATCAACAACAACAAAAAAGTGTTGAGAAAAAAAGAGCAGAAGTAAAATAAAATAACACTAGGGGGGCTATATACAGGGGGGTACCTGTGCAGAGTCAATGTGCGGGGGCACCGGCTAGTTGAGGTAATATTTACATGTGGGTAGAGTTAAAGTGACTATGCATAAATAATTAACAGAGTAGCAGCAGCGTAAAAAGATGGGGTGGGGGGGCAGTGCAAATAGTCTGGGTAGCCATGATTAGCTGTTCAGGAGTCTTATGGCTTGGAGGTAGAAGCTGTTGAGAAGCCTTTTGGACCTAGACTTGGCGCTCCGGTACCGCTTGCCGTGCGGTAGCAGAGAGAACAGTCTATGACTAGGGTGGCTGTAGTCTTTGACAATTTTTAGGGCCTTCCTCTGACACCGCCTTGTATAGAGGTCCTGGATGGCAGGAAGCTTGGCCCCGGTGATGTACTGGGCCGTACGCACTACCCTCTGTAGTGCCTTGCGGTCGGAGGCCGAACAGTTGCCATACCAGTCAGGATGCTCTCGATGGTGCAGCTGTAGAACTTTTTGAGGATCTGAGGACCCATGCCAAATCTTTTCAGTCTCCTGAGGGGGCTTTGTTGTGCCCTCTTCACGACTGTCTTGGTGTGTTTGGACCATGATAGTTCGTTGGTGATGTGGACACCAAGGAACTTGAAGCTCTCAACCTGTTCCACTACAGCCCTGTCGATGAGAATGAGGGCGTGCTCAGTCCTCTTTTTTTCCCTGTAGTCCACAATGATCTCCTTTTGACTTGGTCACGTTGAGGGAGATGTTGTCCTGGCACCACACGGCCAGGTCTCTGACCTCCTCCCTATAGGCTGTCTCATCGTTGTCGGTGATCAGGCCTACCACTGTTGTGTCGTCGGCAAACTTAATGATGGTGTTGGAATCGTGCCTGGCCATGCAGTCATGGGTGAACAGGGAGTACAGGAAGGGACTGAGCACGCACCCCTGAGGGCCCCCGTGTTGAGGATCAGCGTGGCAGATGTGTTGTTACCTACCCTTACCACCTGGGGTCAGCCCGTCAGGAAGTCCAGGATCCAGTTGCAGAGGGAGGTGTTTAGTCCCAGGATCCTTAGCTTAGTGATGAGCTTTGAGGGCACTATGGTGTTGAACGCTGAGCTGTAGTCAATGAAAAGCATTCTCACATAGGTGTTCCTCTTGTCCAGGTGGGAAAGGGCAGTGTGGAGTGCAATAGAGATTGCATCATCTGTGGATCTGTTGTGGCAGTATGCAAATTGGAGTGGGTCTAGGGTTTCTGGGATAATGCTGTTGATGTGAGCCATGACCAGCCTTTCAAAGCACTTCATGGCTACAGACGTGAGTGCTACGGGTCGGTAGTCATTTAGGCAGGTTATCTTAGTGTCCTTGGGCACGGGGACTATGGTGGTCTGCTTGAAACATGTTGGTATTACAGACTCAGACAGGGACATGTTGAAAATGTTGGTGAAGACACTTGCCAGTTGGTCAGCACATGCTTGGAGTACACGTCCTGGTAATCCGTCTGGCCCTGCAGCCTTATGAATGTTGACCTGCTTAAAAGTCTTACTCACATTGGCTACAGAGAGCGTGATCACATAGTCATCCGGAACAGCTGGTGTTCTCATGCATGCTTCAGTGTTGCTTGCCTCGAAGCGAACATAGAAGTGGTTTAGCTCGTCTGGTAGGCTTGTGTCACTGGGCAGCTCGCGGCTGTGCTTCCCTTTGTAGTCTGAAATAGTTTTCAAGCCCTGCCACATCCGACGAGCGTCAGAGCTTGTGTAGTACGATTCAAACTTAGTCCTGTATTGACTCTTTGCCTGTTTGATGGTTCGTCGGAGGTCATAGCAGGATTTCTTATAAGCGTCCGGGTTAGAGTCCCGCTCCTTGAAAGCGGCAGCTCTACCCTTTAGCTCAGTGCAGATGTTGCCTGTATTCCATGGCTTCTGGTTGGGGTATGTACGTACAGTCACTGTGGGGACGACGTCATCGATGCACTTATTGATGAAGCCAGTGACTGATGTGGTGTACTCCTGAATGCTATCCTCAGAGTTCGTACTGCTTGGTGACCTAAATTGGGATATGCTTAATACCCCGGCCATCGTACAATCCAAACTAGATGCCCTCAATCTCACACAAATTATCAACGAACCTACCAGGTACAACCCTAAATCCGTAAACATGGGTACCCTCATAGATATCATCCTGACTAACATACCCTCTAAATACACCTCAGCTGTCTTCAACCAGGATCTCAGCGATCACTGCCTTATTGCCTGCGTCCGTAACGGGTCCGCGGTCAAACGACCACCCCTCATCACTGTCAAACGCTCCCTAAAACACTTTAGCGAGCAGGCCTTCCTAATTGACCTGGCCCAGGTATCCTGGATGGATATAGATCTCATTCCGT